ATTTGAGGATATTATGTTTTAGTGGGAGTTTGTATTTGTGGTGCTTTATGTTTGTTTGTATTGTCTGATCAGAATAAAGTTTTCAGTTAAGACACTCTGTTACATTATGTTTGGTTTTGACCTCACTAAGGAGGACCAGTTGAAAATAGACATGTACTGATCACATTGCATGTAATTTTCATGCTGCACATCCATGATTGATCTATGTCGTTTGATTGTATTGGTATATGTGACCATTGATGGGTCGAGTCACGATAAATGTGACGAAGGCCGCTTTGATCCTATATTGATATAGTCAATGGACGAGATTGTTCGGAAATACCATTTCAGTGATAGCAATTTTTGAGCTCATAAGGTTATACACAATTTAAGGAATCATATGGTGCCCAAGTGGGAGATTGTTGGATTTAATCTAATAAATCTATTTGTGGGCACATATGATTAATCAATGTGTATTGCTATCTTTCAGGATAACCCACTAAAGTGATCAATTAAGTTGGGTTAATTTGGTATTTAAATGATCATGGGGTCATATGTGCAGATACCAGGTTGTAATTGTAATTTATTGAGGGGCTAAATTACAAAAGTACAACATCTATAAATAAGGGGTTATGGTCCCTAACCTAGGGTTACATTCTCTAATTCTCTACACCCCCATCTAGCTAGAGAAATTCGGTTTTAGAGAGAACCCTAAGGTTAGAAGATCCAAAACCCAAAATCAAGATCAAGCAATGGATTCAGGTATAAGCTTCCGCTCTTTTAGATCCTTGTTAATCTCTTTGAATTAATCATGGCTATATGGTTTTAGATCTCAAGTTTATGATGTAGATCTAACAAGTTGATTACAAACCAAATTAGATTTAAATTAAAAAAAAATTAATTTAAATCTAATTTGGTTTGTAATCAACTTGTTAGATCTACATCATAAACTTGAGATCTAAAACCATATAGCCATGATTAATTCAAAGAGATTAACAAGGATCTAAAAGAGCGGAAGCTTATACCTGAATCCATTGCTTGATCTTGATTTTGGGTTTTGGATCTTCTAACCTTAGGGTTCTCTCTAAAACCGAATTTCTCTAGCTAGATGGGGGTGTAGAGAATTAGAGAATGTAACCCTAGGTTAGGGACCATAACCCCTTATTTATAGATGTTGTACTTTTGTAATTTAGCCCCTCAATAAATCACAATTACAACCTGGTATCTGCACATATAACCCCATGATTATATTTAAATACCCATTAACCCAACTTAATTGATCACTTTAGTGGGTTATCCTGAAAGATAGCAATACACATTGATTAATCATATGTGCCCACAAATAGATTTATTAGATTAAATCCAACAATCTCCCACTTGGGCACCATATGATTCCTTAAACTGTGTATAACCTTATGAGCTCAAAAATTGCTATCACTGAAATGGTATTTCCGAATAAGCTTCCGCTCTTTTAGATCCTTGTTAATCTCTTTGAATTAATCATGGCTATATGGTTTTAGATCTCAAGTTTATGATGTAGATCTAACATAATAGTCCTATAATTATACTACATATAAATATTATAAATAAGAATAGTTATAAATAGCACATAATTTAGTATAATTATTCTAAGTTACAAATAAAAATATTATATTATATATTATAATATTAACTAATCCTTTAATTTGTGATAAATATTTAAACAAATTATGATTAAATTATAATAATTATCTAAAATATAAAAATTACTCATACAATTCTTTATACACAACTTTATTTATTAATGTAAAGATTTATTAATTGTTCAATTTAAGAATTTATGTTATTATAAAAGAAATTTCATAATTTTGCACTCAAAGAAAAAGAATTGAAGATAAAAAATAGTATGTCCATGTGCAAAGCACGTACATTATACTAGTAAACAAAAAAGAAAAAGAAAAAAAACAAGCGATTTTAAATAGCTGCAGATGTCCAATTTCCATGTTGTGCTGTAAATCCTCAATTTGCATAAAAACGCCCAATCTGGTTCCTATACAACTTCTTCACTCGATATCATAATGATGCTGAGATTCCAATTAAGCAGACTTAATGATGGATTTTAATGCTCTTGGTCTTGGCACAATTATAATTCATTTTGAACATACAGAGGGGATTTTAGGAGCTTTATGAACAAGGATGTCAAATGCAAAGGTGCAAAATAATAATAATATTAATAAAACATTAAAAAAGAAATTTTATCTCAGATAAGTCACGATTTTCAAGATGGTCATAATTATTCAAGTCAAACCATAAATATTATAAGAAAGTTTTTCTCCAGAGACAATAATTATACAAACCATTTGATTTATTTATGCGTTTGATAAATCACATGTGGATCCAACTCCAACAGTTTATTTTGCAGTCAGTTAGGATAGTTAGTTATCATATCACAACAATAAATTAATTAAGCGTGACAAAGAGAAGCAATTAATTAATTAATTCTTTCAAAAAATCACATAACAAAGATTATAAGAAAATTAAGTTCAATTACTTATACGCGTGGCCTCGCAATCATGCCTCTTTGCTAATATAAATTTGACCTTATTAGCGTACATTAAGTTCAGTCCCAATTTAGCATGAAATAAATAATTTGCCTTTGTTTACTTATTCAATCTACATTTATTTTTACAAAAACAGCTTGGGAGCATGATTGTTATCTCATAATTACACTTTTAGCTTACAATTTTCACTAGTTTGCATGACGTGTAACTTTATGGTAAATTTATTTATTTATATATGCGTTAAAGCCGTTCATATTTTCTTTATGTTTATTATCGTGAGTTTGCAATTCCATCACAAGCAAGTGCACAACTTTCCTAATAATAAAAACATAAAGACGCGAAAGGCCTTTTGAGGAAACAATAAAGTATATGAGAAATTAATAAATCACACTAGTAGAAAATTAATTATTCTAGACGGAATATCCTAGACGGAAAATTTTCCGTCTAGGATATTACATCCTAGACCGAAAAATTCCGTCTAGGATATTCCGTCTAGAATATAATATTCTAGACGGAAATTTCCGTCTAGAATAGTATTCTAGACGGATTTATTTTTTTATTTAATTTTTTGTAATGAACCGAGAATCCTAGACGGAAATTTCCGTCTAGACTACATTCTAGACGGAAATTTCCGTCTAAATGATCTGCTCATTATTTAGTAAAAGAAGGCCACGGTACCCTTTAATTTCTCCCGCCTAAAATTCCCACCTCAATCCCCAATTTTCCCTCCTCAAAACCCTAAATTCTGCCCCCTCTTAAAAATCACAGAGATCCCCAAATTTTCTCTTCCCCTATTCTTCTCCCCTTCTTCTCCTCTGTTCAAAGGCGATAACTCCCGTCCCATCGTCGCCTCCCCCCTCGCCCCCGCGCCCTCCTTCTCCTTCGACATCGTCGTCCCCGTTCGTCGTCCCGTCGTCGCCTCCCCCTCAGCTCGCGAATGTGCTCTCTGAATCAGGCCTGGAGATTTTTAAGGTTCCTCTGTTTTCCTTTATAAAAAAAACATCGCTAATCTCCAATTTCTCCAGCTCCAAAAAAGCCCTAATTTCTCCGCTAATTCAATGCATGGGGCTGCTGGAAACTATCCTCAATTGGCTCCGAAGGTGAGATCCTCGACCCCTCCCGCATTACTCGTTGATTCGTTTGTTCTTAGATTCGAATCATCGGATTTTTAGGGTTTGAATCTGTTTTGTTGCGTTTCGTTTGTTCAGGCAAAATTTTGAATTCTAGGGTTAGTAACGGTGAAAAGGGACGAAGATCAAGATTGGAATTTTATTTCTTTGGAGCTGTAGGAGTCGATTGAGATAGAATAGATAGTACTATTTACCTTAATTTTTTTATTTTTGTTGACTGCAGAACGCTGGGAAAACTTCCCTTGTGAATGTCATCGCAGTATGCACATTTTGATGTCTGCAACGGATATTTAGTTCTTGATCAGTGTAATTTGGGCTTAAGATGCTAATTAAATTTTTTTCAACTTTGTGCAGACTGGTGGATATAGTGAGGACATGATTCCTATAGTAAGTATAACATTCAACATGTAGGACTACTGGTTGTTGTTCTTTGTTATGCATCGATTAGCTTTTGTTGGGTATTGAATAGATTGGATTATATAGGTGAAATTTATATTTTAAAAAAAAGTCTTGAGCTACATTTTCAAATTAATGCAAGTGCACAGTCATCTAGGGTTTGGACATGTAACTACATGCAGCTCTAGTGAAGAGCTTGGCAGTTAGTTTCCAGATATGTTACTTGATGTTTGATAAATTTTTGCAGTTAAATTTCATCGATGATGTCTTAAAAATTGTTAATTCATGTTATTTGATAAGTTATCGCCTTCAAGTCTTGGAGGTGATCTTCCTTACGGCGACTCTTCACGACCAAGTCGTCCACATAGCATTCGACTGTCTTTCGCAAATGATCTCGAAAGATCATGCTCATGGCGCGCTGGTAGGTTACGCCGGCGTTCTTGAGCCCGAAAGGCATGACGGTGTAACAGTACACCCCCATGGGAGTTCTGAATGCAGTGTGCTTCTCGTCCTCGGGGTGCATTTTGATTTGGTTGTACCCCGAGAAGCCGTCCATGAAGGACATCCTCTCGAATCCGCACGTATTGTCAATGATGACATCCGAATGATTGGAGATGAACCATTTTATTTTCTCATAATCAAGTTTTTATTTTTTTTTTTGCGATTCCTAGTAATTTTTTAGTTGTGAGACAGTAAAGAGTATCGGATTCTTTTGATTCAAAATTAGATATAGAAATGATTTAATCCAAAAGCTTAAGTTGTTAGGCATTGATCCCAACTTTCGTTTATGTTAACTGCTCATTTCTAGTTCTTCTGATGTATGACTGTATTTACACATTAAATTTCCAATATTAGTTGATTGTTAAATGATTCTTTGATCCTACGTCCTTTGGGGATCAATTACGCAGTGTATTATCAGATTCTTTTGATGGTAACATTTAGATTCTTATGAATTTTTTTTTGGGTGTCTACTTTAGTGTTCGGGTACGAGCCACATTTGGTATTACCTATTGCTGTATGCGCGCTTGCTGATCACACTGGTTTCATGCCATTGCCAAAGATCAAGGTCCTTGCAAGTAGTGCTGTAAGGTCTTCTGCCATTAACATTTTCTTTTCTTTTGGGAATCGACGTGTTGAAATCAGAGTACCTCCTTTACTCTTTCACTAATACTAATATGTCTGTTCATAATAATGATTCAGGTGTTTTACACACCATTCTTGAGGCAGATATGGACATGGTTAGGGCTGGTTCCAGCGTCCAGAAAGAATTTTTACTCGTATCTGAAAGCTGGCTATAGTTGCATAGTAGTGCCTGGTGGTGTTCAGGAAATTATCCATATGGACCATAAATCTGAGGTGTGCCTAAAACCTTGATTTTTTTTCTTTTTCTTTTTCTTTTTCATTGCTTGAATTTCTTATAAATTCATTGAAATCTTACCATGTTCTGATGATTGTAAATGTAGCGTAGTTGATGCTAGCTTAAAGGCCAAATTATGTGCACATATATTTGTTTCCCTTTATGTTTGGAGGTTTTGTTAATCTTTTTTTAATGGAACTCCTGCCTAAATGCTTTCTTCTCATTTTTTTTAATGATAATGCCGGATGCTTGACTAAAATAACTATCAAATACATAACCAGTAGTACTAATGAAGCATTAAATTCCATATGAAGGAAACTGGTATTCACAACTACATCATGTAGCATGTCTGTTATTTCCTAGGTCTTCCATGCATGTCAAGTTGATACATAGAACATAACAGAGATCCATACACAAACATAGAAGTACACAAACAGAAAAAAGAAATCAATAACACTCATAGAGCTTAACATCCATCTGGACCTTGAAGTATGTCAAACTTGCCGACAATGTCTTAAAGGTGGCAATTCCACGTGCCATGAAGAAATCCCCAGTTCCGCCCACCACAGAGAGGTTTGAACAAGAAGCTCGATTCTAGGATGATGAGGAAGTAATTCTCTTTGAGATCTTTGATGATGGAGCTTCCCTGCATCTCTATTTGTTAAAGCTGATCTACTCTGTATAAAGTATTTAGAAAAGAAAAATTGCCATGTTCAAGTTTTTTGTCGGATCATAAACTATGTTCAAAATGAATGGTAAGAAGTAGACAATTGTTTAGATTTTAAGCTTGGAGTATACAAATTTAGAGTTCAGACATTGGCCCATGATGTAATAGTTCAAAATCTTTGTATGCAATATTGATGGGGTTGAAACATTTTCGATCATAAACTACACAACTTGTTATTTAAGCCCTTCATTTTTGCGGCCACTTGATCCATGAGAAAGAAAGCTTAAAATTTCAAAAGTTTGGTTTTAGGTTTTTAGCCACGCTAATAATGTAGGTTTCACCATGTTCGATCTTTAATTTGATGCTCTATCATTGATTTTCAGTAGGAAAGGTTTTGACTTTTAATCAAAGTCTATCTATTTATTGTTCAAAACTACTGTAGCTTAGTATCCTAGACGGAAATTCCGTCTAGGATGCTTAAATTCCGTCTAGGATGCATTTTTTAACAAAAAAAATTAAAAAAAATTAAAAAACATCAAATTCCGTCTAGAATGAGTATTCTAGACGGAAATTTCCGTCTAGAATACTCATTCTAGACGGAATTTTTTTCCGTCTAGGATGAATTATTCTAGACGGAAATTCCGTCTAGAATAATCCGTCTAGAATGTATTCTAGACGGTTTTGAATTCCGTCTAGAATATTCCGTCTAGGATGTATTCTAGACGGTACTACATCCTAGACGGAAACATACTAGACGCGTATTCTAGACGGAATTCCGTCTAGAATAAGCATTCTAGACGGAATTTTGTGTATCCTAGACGGAATTTTCCGTCTAGGATGCCTAATTTTTTAGCAGTGTCATAAGTATAATGTTTTAGTTTTGCATAAAGTTCAGAATACCCCCTTAAGTTTGAGTTTTCCTCAGAGAGTCATCCTTAACTTTCAAAATGTCACAAAACGCTCCTTAAGTTTTGGAGTTTTCAAAATTTTAACTTTCAACATTTTAATGTGGAGCAAATTAATAGTCTTTCAAGAGAAGTCAAACAATCTAAGAAAACATGATGATTTTCAGCCAGATTTTGATATGCAACTTTGACTGACCATAACTTTTGATTCCCTCCATAGAATCACTATTATTATATATTTTCAGAAAGCTTGGGAAGTGCTCTACAAGTTGAACTAGTTTGCTATTCAACCTGAGTTCAGGATCAAAGGAATTTGTCTTTAGACCAAACAATGTGTATAAGAGTTTTGGTTCAATTTAGTTTCTAGTTTTTGTAGAAAGTTTTCTTATTTTAAGAAATCTAATTATTTTAGGAAAAGTTATTTTGGTACTTTTGCTTTGTTTTATACCCTATATAAAGGGGAATGAATTTGTGAATTGTCACGCCCCACTTCCCAAAATACCGGAGAATCGGAACGTGAACAAGCCCGCGACGTATTAGATTAAGGAGAATAAATAACAATAAGCATTTCTCCTCAACCTAATACGCTAAATGTAAAGAAATAAATGCAAAAACACAGGTCCCCAATCACAGATAGTGAGAATATAAAAAACAACTCATAATAGAATATCCATATCACAAGTGAATATCATCCCAAACATAATATTCGGATCAACATGCCCTTCTACAAAATTGAATATATAAAATACATCGTTCTATGGAAAAGAAAGAAAATACTACAAAAGGCAACTAGGACCATCAATTAAGAAAATATAACAGAGCTTCGACCTATTCTTCAACTCTGTCTGCAAGGCACTCCTGCAAGCTGGACTTGTCCGTCCTCTAAGTCTGACGTACACCAGAGAAAACATGTGTACATTCGCTTGCATGGTACACGGCAAGATCCCACAAAACAAATAGAGCGAACGAAAACCCAAACGGAAAACGATACGATAACAGAAATAACAAAAGGACATATAACTGGAAATCCAACAAAATCAACATGCGAAAACACTACTAAAACATGATAATCATAAGGCTAACAGCACACTATAACCGGGTCGAGTACTAGTCATCCTAAACTCACTGGTCCACATCTCAAATAAAGTTAACATTCATATTACTGGATAACTGACTGTTCACAAATCCTCTATGCGCATCCAATACCGCTACACGAATCGGTCAGAGAACTACACGCAATCCGATCTCGGCCTGGTCTGAACTCAGGCAAAGCTCAGATGACAAAACAGGTCACAGACTAAGGTGACTACACGAATTCACTTTAGCCTAATAAACCAACCCCAGTGGCTATATGAATTCACTAGCGCGAGCCTGGAAGATACATCAACAGCCACATCCGATCACATGAACAAAGACTTTCTCATCCCAACTCTTCTCGTTTTTCTAAGTCAACAATCAAAGTCCACAATATCTCTGGTTCACAACCTAAATTCAGTCAACGCACCCACACATGTCACTAGGTCTGTTCATGACACACGAGGCCACTAAGTCACGAACAACTAAGGGTTCTCAAACATAACAAGGAACAATAAAAGTCTAACTAATTCTATGTACAACAAGATGAAAAGTCTAAAACATTAAAATAAAACGCAAAACATGAAATGTAATTAAGGGCAGTAAAAACATGCATGTAGTCCGGTTTTATTAATATCTTGTTATTCGAACTTCTAAACTACTCATAAAAATTATCAGCAGCAAGATAACATCAAATATAACTATGGTTAAAAAGAAAATCAGAAACCATAATTGTTTTGGACATGAAATGTCACAGTCTGTAATCATCAACACAAGATCATAAATTAATTTAAATCCAAAAAAATAATCTTTTTGTAAAATAAATTACTTTAAATCATAATAATTATTCTAAAATAAACTTTTCCCAAAATTATTTAACTATTCAAAATAACCAATTTTTCCAAAATAAAATATTTTAAATTATCTATTTAAATAATAATTCAAAAATCAACCCATTTTCCAAATAAATTCTTTTCTCATCATAATAATTCTAAAAATTAATCTTTAAATATATTATTTCTTTCAAAAACATTTTGTAACTAATCATAAACTATTTTTTAACATATTCACTCATAATATATAGCATCACTTCACAAAATATAACCACCACAATATTATCAACAAACCCACGCAGATAATAACATATCAGTCTAATCTATACAATTAATTAATATCAGATATAAATATTAGAATGGCGAGTCAAATAGAAGCAGAATCTTGCCACGGGTATGTCGAACGAATCGACGTTGATGGCGCAGATCGGATCTGGCGCGGGGAGCGCGACAATGACGGTTGAAGGGACTACGTAGGGGCTGCTGTACAGCGGCAATGTTGGCACTTGCCCGAGAGATTCGAGATGAATCTTCGGATATAAGCCAGTCGTCCTTGAAGGCCTCTTAGTTCTTTAAGATTTCGGGGTGGCTGGAGCTCTTGAATGGCTCGCACCTTGTCTGGATCAATTCGGATCCCTTTCGTCGTGACGACGAAACCGAGGAATTTACCGCTAGACATCCCCAAGAACGACTTGGTAGGATTCATCTTGAGCTGATGAGTCCTCATGAGTTCGAACATAGCCTTCAAGTCTTGGAGGTGATCCTCCTTATGGCGACTCTTCACGACCAAGTCGTCCACATAGCATTCGACCGTCTTTCGCAAATGATCTCGAAAGATCATGCTCATGGCGCGCTGGTAGGTTGCGCCGGCGTTCTTGAGTCCGAACGGCATGACGGTATAGCAGTACACCCCCATGGGGGTCCTGAATGCAGTGTGCTTCTCGTCTTCGGGGTGCATTTTGATTTGGTTGTACCCCGAGAAGCCGTCCATGAAGGACATCCTCTCGAACCCGCACGTATTGTCAATGATGACATCCGTGATGGGCAGAGGGAATTCGTCTTTAGGGCACGCGGCGTTGAGGTTCCTAAAGTCGATGCAGATGCGGATCTTGCCGTTCTTCTTCAAGGAGAGGGAGAGAGAGAGAGAGAGAGAGAGAGAGAGAGAGAGAGAGAGAGAGAACAAGAGAGAGAAGGGGTTTGGCGGTGTGAAAAAAGAGAAGGGAGAGAAAGAGAGATATATGTGTATATATATATAGGAGAGAGAAAATTAGGGTTTAGGGAATTAACGAGAATAATTAATAAAAATATAATTACTTACATTTTAAATCAAATAATTATAGGGAAAGTATCTATACAATAAAATGTACCAGTTATACTAATACAACCGATTATACGCACTAGTAGAAATAATACATTTAATTGTACAATTAAACGAGAATAATTAATTAAAAATATAATTACTTACATTTAAAATCAAATAATTATGAAAAAATGATCTATACATTAAAACGTACTAGTTATAGTAATACAACAGATAATATGCAACAGATAAT